GAAGGACATTCACAAAGTCAGCTGTTGCATTTGAAAGAGCTCGTGCCCAAGAAAGCTGAGGATGCTTCGGGCTGACGTACCACAAGTGGGAGCAGACTCTGGAACCACGTAACCCCAGGGGCTGGAAGGGAGAAGTTCAGACTAAGGCTACAGGACTCTTCCACCTATACAGACCATCAAGCTGAAACTTGACCTTCAATACGTTGTGCCAGCCTGCATCATCAGTACTTCCTCCACCATTTCTCCCCCTTTCCTCCACCGAATTACAATGGAAGTCCCCAAGAAAGTGCTTGAGTATCTACATGCCTTGGATGATGATCTGGACTGGCACAACAGCAGAAATATTTAACCAATTTCAAATCAAAGCTAAGGATATTTAAAAATTCTTACTCTAAGAACAAACTGTTTGTACTTACCAGTAGAAGACCTCTAAAAATTCCATCTACAGAGTGTAACTGTGCAGAGAAACCCACGTACGTGACAGTTTGCTTACATCTCTCTTCCCAACAGCATTTTCTTTTCACTGATTTCTCTGTTATTCTAGATTAAATTGAAAATTTCCAGAAAATAACTTTGCAATAATGTTTCTGGATTTGCCAGCAGTGTAACTCATAAACCATCCCATCATTTCTAATCCTTACATGGAAAAGTCACTAAAATGGGAAAAAAAATGTAAGGGACAAAGCTTCCTTAGCACTCGAGAGCACCAGACCTATCACACTTTAGAACACTCCTGGTGCTACCACATCAATAAAATTCCTGAACAAAGCACAAGTAGAGAAGTATGGTATTGTCATTTTTGATGATTTCTTGAAGGTTTGTCAATAAGGTATTAGGAATTCACTCAGGTCTGAAAACCAAGTTATTTTTACCCTCAAATTTGCAGTTTTTACTCTGGAACTGCAGAGTGGCAGCCACATGAATTCATACACTGATGCCCAAATCTTGCATGTGCCCACATCACACACGTGTATGTTAGGCCATCAAGACTATTTTGGTTATCATGGACGTACAGAGAAAGGAAGTAAACACACTTTTTCCTGAAACCTGCTTGCAGGCTCAGGCCTTCTTCAGTATTCCTAACGAAGAAAAATTATGGCAATTTAATAAAAAATGGAGAAAATCCTACAGTGTGACAGATCAGCTGTAAAAGCGCACACTGAAACGAGGACAACCTTTTTAAGCCATCAGAATTTTCTTCACGAGACTAGACATTTTCTGTGTCATACTCAGCAAGCAGAGATTTTCCTTTTTGAGAGCTATAAGGAATTTGAGAAGTAAACCCACTACAGTTAATAGCGTTTTAATCTCTATGCATAATAATCACAACCCTACATTGTACAGGTTTGATAATAATAACTGACAGCTGAATTTGAAGTATACATTGCTTTCCAAAATAGATGCGTGTAGGTGGATGTGTTGTACAAATATAATATACTACACGGCTGAGCCTAGATAAGCCGGTGATTCTCAAACGTCAGCATCATCTGCACAAAGTTAGGGTTGAAATCTGCTCTCCTAAATACCTGTTCATCCTTCTTATGACACCTTCTCTAAAGAGCTCAGTGAATAGTAGATAAAAAAGTATCTAATGAGGTATGACAGCAACTCTGATGGAGCTAAACAGCAGAGACCCAAATTCTAATAAATAAAGTCAAACATTCACTGCCAGCAACTATGTCAAGTTAGCCATAGGAAACTAGCTCTGCAGCTGGAGAAGGGCAATACTCTGCAAGCCAGAGAAGCGATGGAACTCCTCCAGCTTTGATTATTTATGGTGTGATGATGAAGGAGCAACTTTCCATGTGAGGAACAGCTTTCAAGTTGAAGAGTGAAGCTGAAACAGAGATTTAATGAAAAATCAGAGGGGAACAAAACTACAGCTACAAAAACAATAACATTCGTTTTAACAATTTAAAAACATAATTTATGTGCAAAACCAGATGTTAGCTTGTCCAGCTTCAAGGTAAACAGCAAACTGTATTCTTAACAACCCTTCCGCTGAGCGGCAAACACGCACGATTTAATGTTGCTGTAAATAAGGCCCACTTCAGACCACCAAACATTATCAAAATGCACACAAATGCAAAACAAACATTTTAAACAAAGGACACATCTGTATCTAATGCAAAGCTCTTTTCAAAAAAACAAAACCTTCAAATTCTACCATAATCATCATAGCCTGAAACATAAGAATGCTTTCAGGCTCAGAAAAAAGGCTTCTAATTTTAAACATTTACGAGGACACTGAGAAGAGGCTTAAAACCATACTTTAAAACGAGTCTTAAGGCTTCAAATTGCTGAAAGCTGAGACCCCTTTACCCATTTGGCTTGGACTACAGAAAGGGAGAGAAGCAGAAAAATATGATGAAAAGACTGTACATGACAATTTCCATGTAAAAAAAAAAATACGCAACCCACTCCCTTGTCCCAAACCTCCTTCCTCCCATCAACACTGCAACTCCCCCCACTTTTACACAAAATGAAAGGGAGTGACTCTTCTTGCCTGACAGCCACCACCAAACACCTCCTCTACACTCCTGGCTCTGATGCACCACCGTTTTTAACAAATAACACTTTTTGAAAATGTTTCTGCAGGACAACTCTGCCATCATTGCTCTGTTCCTGAAGAGGAGGGACTCTGTGGCAGAGCTGCATTCACTTCAGCTCACTTTAAACTACACCAAGGAATGGGTGATACTGCAAGGAAGGTGGTTTAATGGCCCTTCTAAATATGGAACCTGATCAAACCTTTTTAATGTGGTGTGTCTGCCCCCCCCCAAATGCATACTTTATGCTGGGAATGAACTTCCCTTTGATATATCGTAACTACGTGAAGGAGGGATTGTTCTCACATTTCTGTTTCAGAGAAAACACCAAGCTGTTTGATTCTGCAAGTTAAAGCATTAAGAGGAAGGAGAAAAACCCTTTCTAAATGCAAACACACTCTAATAAGTGAAATACAGTCTCAGTATGATATGAAACACCAACTTCAGAATTAGTTACTCCTTTCCAAATATGCCATATTCTCCTCCATCCACCCAGTGAAAATAAATACGGATACATTGTATGCCTTAACAGATGGGTGTGCCATACCCAAGAGTATGAACAAGCAGTATTTTTGAAGTAGTTCAGCATACAAAAACAATATATGAAAATGAAGAAACAACCACAAATATGTATTTATAGCAACAGATAGTAGGAAGGAAGTTTTGAAAATCCACAGGGATTCTTCCACCTTACCAGGCACCTGTAGAGTTCTATGAGCATTTTCCTTTTGTCTTTTATTTTTCTTGGCTCCAGCCATATAGTTCAACTCCAGGGCAAAGCACCATCATACAGCAAAGAATTACATTCAAAACTATTGGTTCATCAAAACTGCCTTTACTGTTCGAAAACAAAACAAATGCACAAAATACTGCAACATCTTCTGGAATCCCACTCAGAAACCCCAATGTTTTTACATCTCTTCTCATGTTCTCATCACCACAATTTCTGCAAAACACTGAGATGCCAGCCAGGACATTTTAGGAATTGTTCCTTTATCATGGCAATCCCTCAGTTATAGTCTGACCACATGAAGAATTGGATACCGTAGCACTGTAGAGACACTATTGGTGTATTTTTCAGTTTGCCCTCTGATGTGCTCCGCTTTCTGCTGAACAGTGACACAGTGATTTCTTATGCTGCCTATATTATTGCTCCAAAAGAATACAGAGGTACAAAAGGTTTTAACAGCACTAGATTCAATGGTTCAATGACCTTTTCATCAAAACTGAGCTCCAGAACTCCAACTCCTTACAGCCTCAGTGGACTTGCCCCCTTGGGTACGTGCTGAAATGGTTACTTAGGGTGCCTGCTCTGTAGCCAACGACACAGCATGAGCTGTTCCTGTTTTGCATCCTGCTAAGGCAACTGCTACTGGCTCCTGACATTGGAAGGTTGAGGTGCTGCATGCAATTCCTCTAGTACAGTAACCTGGCAACAAAAGTGAAAAAAACTCATTACCTGTACCATAAACTTAGAATTGAAGGAACAATTTCCCTTTAAAGCCACAGGCTAGGTCAACTGCCGACGTACAAAAGCGATACACCAGGAGTGTTAAAGACAAAGTGCTAACAGTGTTGGCAGCAGTAGTGCTGCTGTCACAGAAGGTGCAAGGAATATGCTAAAAGTTCACTGTGAGTCATGCAGTCTGTTGCACAGTGTCAAACTCCCCAGGAGTAACCAACTCAGATTACTATTTTTAAAACAAACTTGAGTTTTTTTCATAAAACAGTCAAGCTTTGAGGGTTCCACCTTCATGGGTGGCAACTAACCCATCTTCAACCCAAACAGCTACAGGGGAAAAAAAAAAAAAAAAAAAATATTTTTTTCACTTTAAAAATCCAAAGATCCTTGCTGCTCCCAGGACAGAATATAACACCTAAAAGACCTGCCAACTGGCAAGCAATGAACATGGCTGAAGACACTGAAAGTGAGAAAATGAGAATTAAAAGCTCTTATTTTATAGATTATAAAGCTCCCAAATGCCGGCTGTATGTACAAACATCCAAATAATTCACAGAACTGCATGGAAATATGTATTTACCATTAAATCTGGAAGCACAGTTGAGACTGAAATTAGACTTTCAGCCTGGTTTGTCATTTCATTCAAGACTGAGATTATGTCACATAAACCGATTTATTTCTGTGTGTACAGTATAATTTAACCTGAGAATATTTTTCCTTGACATTAACCATTAGAATTTTCTGCTGCTAAGTTCCTTAAGCATGAATTTTAAGTACAGTGTTTCACAATCAGCTTGCATGTACCCATCCAGAATGATACCGGGTAAATACATCTTCTATTTAAAAAAATAAAGGTTAGTGTAACTTAAGAAAAAAACCAACAAACTTTTGAAGTGATACATCTCGAGTCAGTTTAGCAACATGGCAAAAAAAACATAAACAATTTGGTAAGGTAGTTGACGTTTTTCATAGCATTGTAGAATTGAGCTTCAGTATTCACCATTATTAGAAAGTTCAGTAATTCCTTGCTTTGATAACAAACTAAAAATTGTCCATAAAGTGGAAGGGTCTTCACAGTTATGATGATTCTGCCAATGATTACAAAGGTCCTCTTTCCTTCCAAACAACTGTTTGCATAAAATGCAGTTGTAGCCTGCTTTAGCCCGAATTTCTGGTTTTTTGCTTGGTGTACCAAATCCTACATTTTGCATCTCCTTGGCTGCTTGGCTGCTTCCCGACTGAGTCAGTTCACTTTTAGATAACATATCGACATTATTTTGATGGTGAAAGTATATCTGTCTTTTCAGTTTTGGAAAAGTATAAACCTCCTCCTCGTGGGCGGTGCATTTTGCTAAACGTCTTCTCTCATTGCGCTGTCTCCTGAAGTGGCTTGCATGTTTGATCAGTTCCCCCTTAGCTCCTCTATTTCCTTGTAAAACTCCTTCCTTTACTCTTCCCTGGATCTCTTCTCCATGACAGCACAGTAAGTGAAACTTCATTTCACCAAAAGACTGTGCAACAAACTGGCATCGACCACATCTGATCTGTAATTTCACTTCTCCTGGGTTGTGGAATAGGTCCTCAAAATTGCACTTATATCCCCTGTTAAAAAAAAAAAGGAAATAGGAACTATTTCAGTATTAGCCACACACAGAAGAGAGATGGCAATTTCTGTCCTTTTAAGTTCCAAGAAGAGATGACGTAAACATTCTTTTAATTAAAAACAGGCACTGTTGCTACAGTATCTAAATTATGTGGTACAGAAAAAGAAATAAATAATAATAAAGCTGATTCAGAAACAACTGAACTCAAATGGTATTTGACACTGCTGAGTTTAAGAATTGCCTCCAAAATCAGCCTCGGTAGAAATAACCTCAACAACACTAACCTTTTAATAAAAGGTTAATTTAGGTTTCTTTAAGTTCCTGATTTACTGAGGTCAATCCAAATACTTCTAGCTCTGTGCTAGAAAAGAGAATGAGTATTGTGTGTAGGGTACTACTGACAGAAATGGACTTGTTTACACTGAGTGATCTAAGGTCAATTTAAGGCAAAACCACATGTCCCACCCCCCCCAACCCCTTCCCCTAGCCCCCCAGCCCCACTCCAAGATGGACACAATGAAACTTCAAAGTTCCTTTTTTTTTTTTCCCCCCCCGAAAAGTTTGTAACACAGCTCTAAAAACTTTAAATACCTAATTTGCAATTGCACAGCCCCTCTCGTTGCTTCAGGAGAGCTCTGCAGTGTAAGGGAAACACACACACAGAGCCCGCGAGTCCCCAGTTTAAGTTAAGCCAACCCTCTGCAGAAACCTTCTCACAATGTCTATGAAAAGGGCCATGCAATACTGTGCATTTACACACATCAGACAAAAAACTCAGCAAAACAGATAAACTGAGCAACTCCTCAAAGTACAAAGACTAGTCAGGCTGAAAGACAAGCATCGGTGTTTTTTGTACCTTAAATATTTCTAACTGATGCCCCAGAGAGTGGAGCTGTGCAAAGAAAAGCATGTAAAATTAACTGTAGCGTGGCAGTGAGGCATCAGGTTAAAGCCCTGCGCTGATCAAAGTGTGCTTCAATGAAAGCAAATGCACAGTGGCACAAACAAAAGTGGCAACATTTATACTGTTTCAAGAAATTCCACCTCAAAATCATAATGCAGAGATAAAAGAACGTTCTATCCATCTTAATATGGTAAACGTTAACTTTTCTACTTGGCTAAGTGATCGCAAGAGCGGCAGTAATCAACGCACAAGACAGATTAGCTCACAATGCTCCAGAGAAGGAAATGGGATAATGATACTTAATCAGGTAAACAAATGACCAGCTCATACGGAAATATGAACTGCTTTGCACTTACTGCAGCTGGTTCACCTGTTTTCTGGGGAAAACCCAAAATGGGTAGAACACAGAGAACAGTGCAGTTCAACAGAAAAAGCGTTAGCCATGAGAAATCAACTGATCAAACAGCTCCGCTGGCAGAGTACAGGGTATTACTAGAACATATGCAAAATTATTTTGGATATTCAAGTGTCAGTAATAATTTATATTCATTAAGTCAGCTAAAATATACCGGATGGTCTGAAGGATTTACTAGATTCCTTAACACAATATTTAAACCATTTGGAATCTCACTTCAGTGGGAAAAAAATATGAGGAAAAAGCAACAACTTCCATAATGGTAATGTTTATAAACTTCCACCGACAACCTGAAATCCCGTTTTCATTACCATTTCAGTAGTGAAAACACGCACCTCTCTGTGGCTTCTGCTTCTTTTATATTTGTGTCTCTCTTCTTTAATGCATCTTGCAGCTGTTGGTCGCTAGCAGAGGGCTCCGTGGTGATAACAACCCTGTGCACTTCTCTTAAGTGACCAAAATACACTTTTGCATGGCCAAAAACCTTAGCACAGAATTCACAGCACACAAGTTTTCTGGGTTTGCCTTCACTGTGATGAAGTTTCATATGCGTGCTCAGGCTTCCAGAGTGAATATATGCTTTCCGACAAATTCGACAGCTGTAAGGCCGTTTGTTCGTATGGGTGTTCATATGGTCCTGAAGATGGTGTTTAAACTGGAAGATATGGTTACAAACATGACATTTATGTGATGGCTTAGGTACGGCTGCACTTCTACATAAATCACTTGATTTAGCTGATGTAGCATCACTACACTTGTAACTTAAATACCTGTTGGGAAGTGAACTGTTTAAAAAACCATCTTGGTCTGAACGGCCAGGACATGCTGTCTCTACTACTGCTGCAGAAGTCAGCGGTGCAAAAGCCTGCACAACTACCACTGGTTTTGGTCTAATACTACGGTATTTTTTCACTGCCTCTGGTTTTTTGTCTTCAGGTGGCTGAAGGTCAACTTTTGTGCTGTCTCGTCCATCTCGAAACTTACTGATGATGCCTTTCCTTCGCTTGGTCTGAAAAGCCAGTAAATCATCTGGGGCTCTTCTTTTCCTGCCTCTTCTTTTCGAGGCTGCACCGTTCAGTTTTTTAAGACTGTCGACATCCACTTTGTCAGATGGAGAGAAGGTGTTTTCTCGAATGGTTTGTTTGGGGACTTGTGTAAATGGTGCAGCTACCCGCTTATCGAATGCTTTTGTAGGAACATGAAAGCTTTTCGCCAAAGCTGGTGTCTTTTCACATTCAGATCGTAGTGAAGGACCAGATACATCTGTAACATCAATACTCTGCTTAGATTTACAGAACACTGAATTCTTCATCCTCGAGTAAGGCAAAATAGGAAGTTTTCCTTTTGGTGCTGATGGAGTCACCTGTATTGTACTGCCAAAACCTGCTGGTGACAAGACAGCAACAGAATTTGTGGGTTTTTCCTTTAGTTTCTCAGACTCTCTTATGGTTTTAGATGCTGTCTTCACAGAGCGTGGACTTGGTTTCATGGGATTAATTGTACTTGCCGGCTTGGATGAAGAGTCTTTAACTACAGATGGTCCAGAAACATTACCGTTAGCAATTTCAGTTTTGTTCACAAAAGGAGATCCAGATTCCACACAATTGCTCTTCTTTACTGATGTGGCAACAGTAATTTCAGCTGAGTCACGGTCCGTTAGCATCACTTGCTCAGTTGAATATGAACCAGAACGAGTTTCAGGACAGTCTTCAGTTAAAGTAGTCCTGCGGGAAGTCTGTGATGAGATGGATGCTTTGGGAGGAATCTTGCTATGTGCACCCAAACCAGAAATCTGTGCTGGTTTTTTGTCACTCAGCAATTTATTTCTTACAGATTGGTATCTAGGGATAGGCAGCTTTAGGTTTTCAGAAGGGGCCACATTTGACTGCTGGGCTTGCTGCGGTAGGGCAGGGGCAACGTAGGGCAAGGCCAACAGAGAGAAAGTCCCCTCGTGACCAGCCACCTGCATGACAGCATAGTTTTGAGTCGGTACCACCAGCGGTTTAGAACCTGCAGCTGAAATCGGTGTATTTGGCTCAGGCAGAGATGACTGAAGACAAGAAACCACTCCAGATGTTAAGATTTTTGGTACCATTTTTGGGGCAATGGTCCTAAACTGACTTTTCTTCTGAAAACTTTGTATTATATCCGAAGGGGACTTCTGTTTATCTGTAATAATAACATAACAAAGATGTAACATTTTTTCTCTTTTAAAAAATTACGGTATTGAAAATAAACTGCTTATAAAGGATACTATTACACCCAAACCTACTAAAAATATTTAGGTATTTAAATGACCACTAAATGAAGTTCAGAACTGCAAAAGTTTCATGGACAAAACAAAGATACTCCCTGGAAAATATGCTTGAATATAGATATGCTAAATAAATGCCCTCTTAATCTACTGTTAAATGGAAGTTTCGTTCTAGGCATTTCTGCATTCTACATGGCATTTCAGAACAAACACACTTATAAGCCTCTTCTGCCCTGGAAAAGCTGCATTAGCATGCTGGCAATATTCAGCTGGAAGAACTAACAGGGACAGGATTTAAACTCCATGATGCAGAAATTTTCTGAGCACCTGCTCTGACCGTATCTCTCAACCACAGTCATGCTATCTTTCAGAGTTTCTGTAACATTTAGAACTTGTGATTTTTACCAGATACAGACCAAAGCTTACCTGAAAAGTCCTAAAAAAATTATAAAACAGGCAAATAACATGTAATAAAATCAAAGAGTAGTTGAGCGAAGAGGTACCATTGTTAAATACCCAGTCACACATATTGCTTATGTGCCTTTAATGCACAACAGAACTCCTGTAGTAAGTTATTCAAATATTTTCTTGAAAGATGCAATTTATGAAGGTTATACCACAGTTCATTCCTGTTTCCGCTTGTGTTGGTAAATGTCACAAATATTTTCAGCAAAGAAGAATGTGAGGATAATTAACTAAACAAATGAAAGCAAAAAGGTAAAATGCATGAGACATAACCTGCACTGAGCAGCAGAGGCATATGATGACCTTTCAGACACTCCATAAAAAAGGATTTGATATATAGTTAATGGTACCACTACTATCTCATGTAACAGCCTCATTGCCCACACTCAAATTCAACTACTATTGCTGCCAGTTCTCAGAAACTGGGATAGGTTTTCTGAAGAAAAAAATGAATTGCCAACAATCTCTATCACTGAAAATTCAACTACAAAGAAGAAAGGCCATTTGGGAAGGCAACAATGTCAGAAAAATTCACTTTGAGAGAGGAATCACATTTGAATAGAATATGTAAAAATAAATGCTGGGACCTTGAAATATTGCAGTAGGGTAATTCCATAGGGAAGATTCCATTCCTTATCATTTTAAAGCCTTGTGTTACAAATGCATTTATACACGGTTATGGACTTAGAGAGGTAACTGTGAATTACTATCAACACTAGAAACTCTTCTAAGTTTATCTTAATCCTGGATGTTCTTTTCAGATGTTACACACTTTGCACCATGTAAGTTACAGAGCTATCACATTTCACAGCCCTGACTCCTGGACAGATATATGTGCATACTCACGGTACACACGTGTGCAGTAAATCTACTGCCTTCAGGACGTGCTACATTCACGGCACAATCACACAAACTGTACAGTTCATACACAGTAGGTCTGATGCTTCTCGAAGCTCTTTGACCTACAGCAGGTTCACAGAGTAACTTTGGGCAGGGCATAAAACTTTCAGCCTTTTATTGCCATCTGCAGCACCAAACCTCGTCTGTTATGCACCTTCTTGAACCCCCAGTTAAGTAAAACTACTGTGCACCACAATAACGTTCTTTCTGCTCAATGCTTATAGAGATGTCCAGAATATTCTGTGCAGAGTGAACTATTGTACATTGTGCTGGATCCAGCCAGGAAAG